AAACTTTTAATTTGTTCATAAGTCTCTCTAAGAGTTCTTTGTAGCTGCTGATTTATTTGGCATATTAGTTTTATTTTAAAGATTTTTCTAAGGCGAATATTCAATTAGATATTAGAATTATGATCAAAATTTTTAGAATATCTCTAAAATCAAATAAGTTAATAAAATCTTTTTCTAGATGATGTTTCAATTATTAATTAAAAAAAAATATTGAATAAATTCTTGATCATTTGAGATCTTCATACAGAATCATTTGGAGAGACAAGAAAGCCCTTGATATAAAAAATAAAGAAGGAACCTTTGATAATAGAACTTTTCAAATTTCTTGCAAATGGAAATTGATAAAAGTTTTATTTAAGGGGTCGAAATCACTGAATTTATTAATTGAGATTCTTCCTGTTTGTGCCATAACGTTAGAACTTTTAAGAGAAAACATAACATTTATGGAATATAAATCAATTTAGTTAATTTTAAAAATTTATTGTTAAGTAGGGTTAAATTCATAGTTATAGGGAAGAACAATTTTGTTATTTCTTAATATTCTCAATTATGTTTATGAAATTCAATCTTGGTAATTTTGCAATTTATAAACAATTAATAAAATTGAACTAGTTAACTGATATTATCTATGTGTATTTATTAATTAATTTCAAAAAAATCAGCTTGAAGTACAATTAAATAGTTCTTATGTTAATGATTAATAACTGTTCCTTATATGCAAAATTATTATTGAAATTAGCTACTTTGGATTTAATTCATGTCGAGCTTATTTAAGATTATTGTTAGTGATGGATATAATTTAGATCTCTAAATCCTATTAGGAGTTGAAATATTTATTGATGATTAATATATCTTTTTAGTCCTTTATTCTCTCTAATACTTTTAAAATCAATTGAATATAATAAATAACAGAAGTAAGTTTAATTTTATTTATGTAATTATTTAAATGTATCTTTCTTCTTATCTTTGTTATTAATTGTATCATTACCTTTTTCTAAATTAAAGATATAAATTTTACTAAACTATTAATAATCTTTATTGAAACTAAACCTGTTTACTCTGTTTATATTATAAATTAATTAGTGTATTGTACTTCTATAAATATTAATATATAACAGTTGATTCTGACATCTCAATATTATCCAAATATTTAAAGGGTAACAAAAAACACATATTATTAAAAAGTTATAAAAAAATGATTAAATTATAATTGTAATGTTTTTAATGAATATTCAAATTCACTATTGCCTTTGTTTTAAGTCTTCTAAAAAACAACTACCCTTTGATTTAAACAAAGGTTTTAAATCTTTCCCTTAATGATCAATGAATTGTCCTTATAAGATAAGTGTTCCTGATGCTTCAAATAAAGGATTCTAACATATTCTAAGTATTGTACGATCAGGATTAACTAAATAATAATAAAGATTAAATACCATATGGCAATAAAGAGCTATTCTGAAGTGGTATGTTAAACTCGGCAAGCAAACCTTTATAGCTACTATCTGATTGAAGTATTTCATTAGATGTTTTTACATTCCAGAGACGAATAGACTTATCTGAACTACCAGATGCTAATGTATTTCCATCAGGGGAGTAACAAATTGCAGTAACACAATCTGAATGACCTAATTATAAAGTCAGAATTGCTTGGTCTCACTTGTTAACAAATTAAAGTGTTAAAATGTTGATATCAATAATTTGAAAAAAGTTGGGAAAGAGTGTAAGGGTCATGTTTGAGTTTAGTAAAGTTCAAAAGTTGAATTAAAATAAATAGAGAATTTTATCCATTTTGTAGAATACTAATGGTAAAATGATAAGAACTGTGGAGTGTTGAAAACATGAATAGATGATGAAGCAAATAAATTTATCTAGATTGGTTGAAACTAGAAGATGGATATAATAGTGTCCTAAAATGATGGTGAAAGCTTCTGAGATAATTAATTTAGGAGTAAATTTCTAAAAAATTTCCAAAGATGCTTCATTAGTGTTATAAAAGTAACTATCTGATTCAATTGTATAATTGGCAAAAGAAAGAGTATGATAAAAAAAAAAATTGGCTAATAATGAAAAAGGAATAACAGGATAATAATGAAAAACGATAATAGGATAATAATGAAAAACAACAGTCCAATCGACTTTTCTTTTTCAGTTTCACTTTTTTTAATCATCCAGCATTTGAAAGTTTTCAACATAAAAGTACATGAGTTAATTCTTTTCAAATATACTAAAATTGATGTGGATAACTTAGAAAAATTTTAATTAATTTGAAATTGCTGTCGAAGTATGGAATAAAATGGAAAAAAAAGTCAAATGCTATCCAAATTTTCAACCTTCGAAAATGATTTAAGTTGTTTTTAATACATTATCTGAATTAAATCTTACAAGTTATGACTTTTATGATGAATCAATTAATTAATATCACATATAGAAAAATATAGAAATCTGGGAAAATCGATACATATTGATCTATGTTTTTGGATGAAAGAGAATAGGAGAAGTAGTAAAATTAATTTTTTAAAGATGATGATCGTTAATTTGGTTCCTATAAAAAGGATTTAAGGAGTTGAACATTAGTTTAATAAAAAGGTACAAACTTTTAATTTGTTCATAAGTCTCTCTAAGAGTTCTTTGTAGCTGCTGATTTATTTGGCATATTAGTTTTATTTTAAAGATTTTTCTAAGGCGAATATTCAATTAGATATTAGAATTATGATCAAAATTTTTAGAATATCTCTAAAATCAAATAAGTTAATAAAATCTTTTTCTAGATGATGTTTCAATTATTAATTAAAAAAAAATATTGAATAAATTCTTGATCATTTGAGATCTTCATACAGAATCATTTGGAGAGACAAGAAAGCCCTTGATATAAAAAATAAAGAAGGAACCTTTGATAATAGAACTTTTCAAATTTCTTGCAAATGGAAATTGATAAAAGTTTTATTTAAGGGGTCGAAATCACTGAATTTATTAATTGAGATTCTTCCTGTTTGTGCCATAACGTTAGAACTTTTAAGAGAAAACATAACATTTATGGAATATAAATCAATTTAGTTAATTTTAAAAATTTATTGTTAAGTAGGGTTAAATTCATAGTTATAGGGAAGAACAATTTTGTTATTTCTTAATATTTTCAATTATGTTTATGAAATTCAATCTTGGTAATTTTGCAATTTATAAACAATTAATAAAATTGAACTAGTTAACTGATATTATCTATGTGTATTTATTAATTAATTTCAAAAAAATCAGCTTGAAGTACAATTAAATAGTTCTTATGTTAATGATTAATAACTGTTCCTTATATGCAAAATTATTATTGAAATTAGCTACTTTGGATTTAATTTCGAGCTTATTTAAGATTATTGTTAGTGATGGATATAATTTAGATCTCTAAATCCTATTAGGAGTTGAAATATTTATTGATGATTAATATATCTTTTCAGTCCTTTATTCTCTCTAATACTTTTAAAATCAATTGAATATAATAAATAACAGAAGTAAGTTTAATTTTATTTATGTAATTATTTAAATGTATCTTTCTTCTTATCTTTGTTATTAATTGTATCATTACCTTTTTCTAAATTAAAGATATAAATTTTACTAAACTATTAATAATCTTTATTGAAACTAAACCTGTTTACTCTGTTTATATTATAAATTAATTAGTGTATTGTACTTCTATAAATATTAATATATAACAGTTGATTCTGACATCTCAATATTATCCAAATATTTAAAGGGTAACAAAAAACACATATTATTAAAAAGATATAAAAAAATGATTAAATTATAATTGTAATGTTTTTAATGAATATTCAAATTCACTTTTGCTTTAAGTCTTCTAAAAAG